GCGGGGCTGAGCTGCCTCTTGGCGCGCGGGGCAAGACCCGCGGGGGCCGCGCTGCCCCGCGCCCTGCGGCCCCGCCAGGGAGCGGGGCTCCCCCACACGCGCCCTGCCCGCTCCCCTCCAGCCTGCAGCTCTCGCCCGCCTTAAGGCCAGCTCCACGCTTTTGAAAACCCAAGCCAACTGGGCACCTAAACATAGACTTCATGACTGAGGCGGAGGCTGATGCCCCCCCACCCACGGGGAGAATAAAGCCTCATCCTCCAGGAGCGTGGCCAGTCTCTCAGGACTCGTGGTAAGGATGACAGCTTTAGGGTGGCCATCATAGAGGGCAGTCCGGGTTTCTGCGACTGTCTTCTATTGAGACGAAACTTCTACTGGTAAAAATAGAGGACATAAAGGCGTCTGGTTTCATCTCAATAGAGGACAGAGGGCAACTGGACTGGCCTCTATGGTGGCCACCCTATTTATTAGACCAGCTAGATTTTTGCAAACACCCCCCAACCAAATTCTTTATTTGCAAGCTTTGAGGCACAAGCGTCCTTCATGGATTTCATAGACATTCGGGCTGGAATGTTTCATCAAGTGCAGCCCCCTGCCCCAGGAGCAGGAAGTCAGCAGGGATCATAGGATCCCAGCAAGATAGACATCCAAATGTCTCTTGAAGGCATTCAAAGTGGGTGCCTGAACCACCTCCGTCGGCAGTCTATTCCAAACCTTGGGGGCTCGGACAGGAAAGAAGTTCTTCCTTCTGTCCAGCCTGAATCGGTCCTGGATGAGTTTGTGACCGTGCAATGTTGTCATCCCTTGGGGCGCTCTGGTGAACAGACGTTCCCCCAGATCCTGATGAGCACCCCTGATGTACTTATAGGTGTAGGTGTGGGAGACAAGATTGTAAAAGTTCTCAAGTATGAAAAGAACATATCTCATGGGAGCGTTGAAGGTGCGGGAGCACCTCCTGTTTGGAACAGTTCAGTCTCTTTGATGAATCCAGCACAAGTGCCAGCGCCGGGTGGCAGCGAGTCTGGCACTCGAATGACCCACAGATTGAAAAAGAGCTTTATTCCCTGGTTTGAAGCTGCCTGCCACCCAGCTTCATCCTGTGACCGCCCCCCCCCCGCCCCTCCAGTTCTTGCCTGGGGGAGAGAGGAGATAAGCAACCCCTGCTGACTTTCTCTTCAGCCTTTAGGATGATGTAAAGATCCTGCCCCCCTTCGCAAGCATCTCCTTTCTCAACCAAATAGACCTAGTCTCTAGTCTCTCCTTGTGTGGAAGCCCTTTTGTATCGCTGGCCTTCCTTGTTGTCCCTCTCTGGACTTTCTTTAGTTCTTCTGTATCCTTTTCTTGAGGTTTTGGAACATTCTGCCCTGTTGTGGGCTTTCTGGGTTCTTTGCAACAGAAGCATTACTCTATTATGATCCTGTAGTCAAAACTGACTCTATCCCAAGGGGTACCTTGAGCCTAAAAAGGTTGAGAATCACTGCCATGGACTCTGAGCCTCCCAGTTCTCACTATTGATTATCCCTATACCTGTGCAAAGGCCTGAGTTCACCTTGTGGACTTTCCAAATTATTCTGGCCTCATCTGCCCCTTGTGTCTCCCATGACCTATTATTGCTGCTGCAAATGCAGCTTTTGTCCAGGCTGGACTGGCCTACACTTCAGGTCATTAGGAGAGCTGCACCTGTACCAGTGGCCCCTCTTGGTTTGTTTAACTTGTTTCTATTATACATGTATGCAGTATCCATCCCTTTCTGTAGCTAGACTTCCACAAACACTTTTTGTTCTTTTCTCCATGCACAAATCCTCTATCACTGGATCTCATTAAGCTCTTTTTCATAATCAGGGAGTATAAGTCTGTGTCCAGCTGCAAGCCACCCATCCTTATACAAACAGAAAGTAACCACAGGGGATCAAGGCCAGAAAGAAAGGTCCAGTTGGTCTGCCCTCCACACATCTGGGTGAGAAAAACAGTTTTATATCCCTATTTGCAGAATAAGAGGCGTGATCTTCCAAGGGGAAGTTTCAGGCCCAAACACTAGTTGAAAAATGTGAGCAGCGATAAGATTTCCTACACCTCTTAGTAGTGAATGTGGGTACCCTTACGTGGAGGTTCCACCTAGCCCAAGAGTGCTTAACTCCTGGCCCACAGGCCAGATCCGACCCCCTGAACTACCCAAGGGTCCATGGGGAGCCATGTGGGCCATGGTCTTGCATGCTTGATTGGTCAGTACAGGCCCCCAGAACCCAGTCTAACGCATGGGACTGGGCAGAGGCAGTGTAGGGCTTCAGAGCCCAATCCTGGCACATGTGGCTGAGTAGGGGCAGCACAGGGCCCCACAGCATGATCTTGACATGTGGGAATGGATGAGGGTAGTGCAAAGCCCCAGGGCCCAATCCTGAGAGATGAGGCCAGGAGGAGACTGCACAGGGTCCTGATCCTGGCCTGTGGGGCTGGATGGGGGCAGCATAGGGCCCCAGAGCCCAGTCCTGGCACACAAAGTCCAATCCATGGCCAGCTGCATGCCATTCATCTGGCCTGCATGGCCAAAAGGTTGAGTGTCACTGACCAAGGCTGTTATGGCTGGCAGAGGTATCTGAAGGGTGGCTGGCTAGGCCTTTAAATCTATGTTTAGGTGCCCAATTGGCTTGTTTTTTCAGAAGTGTAGAGCATGTGGATAGCTTCCATTAATGTAGGTGAGAGCTGCTGGGCTGCATGCTCAGTGCTTCGTAGGGGGAAACATTAGGCAGCATACTTAGATAGCTTAACATGACTCTATATACCTAACTTTAAGCACTCCCAGTGCCTGTTTGAAGGCATGCTGCTGGGTTTTTGGTTGTAGCTGTGTTGGTCTAAGTTAGGAAGGACATTCTGGTTTTCTGCTACTCTGTCCTCTGTCCTCAATTGATACAAAACCTGATGCCTTTATGTCCTCTATTTTGCTCGTCAAGAGAGAAGTGGAGGACATAAAGGTGTCCGGTTTTGTATCAACAGAGGACAGAGGACAACCGGAGTGTCCTCTATGCTGGCCACCCTAGACTAAGGACATAGACAGGCAAGGTTCTTTGGGTAGATGGGATATTTTTTATTAGACCAACTGAGAACTGTAGTTGGAGAAAAGTTCTTTGCAAGCTTTTGGGTTCAATCACCCTTCTTCAGGCATAGGAAGTCTCTGGTGTTTGGAGACTCCAAGCAATGAAAGAAGCTAAAAGTGTGACAGGATGTCAGTGGGAATGTAAATAGGTAGAAATTAGAAAAACAAAAGGTAGATCAGGGAAGGGGAGGGGACCAGCGGGGGAGGTGAGTAAGGGAGACTCTACAGTAGTAGCAATTCAAGGTAGGAAAGAGGCTGTCTGAAAAAGTAAATAGTTGGAAATTAGGAAGACAAAGTGCAGAAAAGGAGGGGAAAGGAGGAGTGGAGGGAAGTGTAAGAGGTCAGGCCTGGCAGTACCTGGTGAATCAGATGTCAGGCAGGTTGTAATGTGTCATAAATCCAATGTCTATATTGAGTCCAAGATTTTTTGTATATGAAATGTCATCTACGAAAACTGTTTTGTAAGTTCCCTTTGAGAATTAAAACTGCGAGATCGGAGAGGGAGTGATTGTCTTGTGAGAAGTGTGCCCTCACAGGTAGTTGGGCATTCTAGCTTTTTGGTGTGCATTCATTCTGGTGTGCAGTTGTTGTTTGGTTTCTCCAGCATATTTTCCATCAGGGCATTTGGTGTACTGGGTGAAATGTATTACATTTGTGGAGGTGCAGGTTTAAGATCCAGGAATAGTGATGGCTCTGTTGTGGGGTGTGGTTATTGTGGGGGTAGCGGAGATGTGTTGGCAGGTTTTGCATTTCTTGTCTTGGCATGGTCTGAATCCATTAGGTGTAGTTTGGGTCATAGGGAGCTTGCTTGTGGTGATGAGGTTAGCGAGGTTTGGTGCTTGTTTGAAGGCTAGGATGAGTGGTTTTGGAAAGATCTCTGTAAGAACTGGGTTTTCTTCTAGTGTGGGTTGCAATTGTTTGAGGATTTTCCATGTAGGTTGCAGGGAAGGGGGGTATGTCATAACTAATGATGTGCAATTTGTGGGGATTTTCTTTTTGTAGTGCAGCAAATCTTCACGTGGTATCCGGGTGGCTCTTTCAACAGTATGAGCTATCTCTCTGGAGAAGTGCCCTTGTTGGCTGAAGGCCCTTTTGAGATTTCTGAGGTGATGATCACTGATATTCTCCTCGCTGCAAATTCAGTGGTGTCGGAGAGCTTGCCTGTATATTACAGCTTTCTTGGTGTATTTAGGGTGATCACTGGTTCTGTGTAGATATGTATGTTTGTCTGTGGGTTTCTTGTATATGGTGGTTTGAATTTTACCATTTTGGATATTGATCATGGTGTCCAAAAAAGGAAATGCTGGCATTGCAGTCACAGATGCCTGCAGCTCCCCTCCTCCTAAAGAGCCTTATGAAGGTTCCTGTTTCTGATCAGAACAGAACAAGTTTAGAGTACAGGAGATCAACAAACGGTTGATTATAGAGACTAGGGTGATTTTTTTTCCACTTAAAATCACAGGATTCTAAAGACCCTAACACAATCAGTCCCTGTTCTGGCATAAAAAATGACTCCACATATTGAGGACTGCCTGAAGGGACACAGCTTTTTTCTGAAATCCAGCCCCTGGCTCCCTTTCAACTCTCACACCTTTCTCCCAGTTATGCCCTTATCCACACTGAAAATAGATTTCCCAGCTTCATCTGGATATTGTATGTTCCACAGTTATAGTCTAGATACATTCTGCCCTTTCTTTAAAAAACAAACAAACTAGACATAGTCACGCTTTGTAGACCTCTTCTGCTATCAAATTAAAATTAAGTCCAGTAGAACTTTATTCCTTGATCATAATGATTTGCCTGTACTATATAGTTTGTTTTGTTGTTTATCTGTTCTAAAATCTGCGTAT